GAGTTCAAGATTATCAGCATTTATAAAAGTTCATGTTTGGTAAAAAAAATATCGAAATTAATTTATATCTTCTAAACGGTAATAGATAGGTATAGGGAAATAGTATATGAATTTGTTGAGAAAGTGATAATGAATCATAATATATTATTATCTACGGGGTGTTCTATTTGAAAAATCAAAGAAGCCGCTACTTTATAGTAGAAGCGACAACGCCGCTTTGTCTGAAATATTTTAGGCGTGTAGGTCACATTGATTTATGCATACTGTGAAATTTTCAGGTTGATCCGTTAAATAGTTTGTCGGAAACGGATAATTAACGCTCATCATGAAAAGCCCTGTATGTCGGTATCAATTATGAGATCTGCTAAACTTTTTGAATAATTTTTCTCACTGAAATTGTCAAAAATCTGGAAAATTAAGAGAAATTATTTTTTTGCAGAAGTCAGTGCAGGTTATAGTGAAGTTCTTACATATACTATTCTGTTAAAAAAATAAGGTGAATTTTAATTTTTTCCAGAAAAATATTCATTTATTCATCAATTTCTATTTCCCCTTCAAAGTAGTCCTCCCCAGATACAATACACCTGCGCCAGCACTTTTTGGTATGTCCTTGAGCTCTATCAGCGATTCGGTTTTCATGTTCTCAATCGTCACAAAACGCCGTTTTCTCATGGGTATCTTCAATATTGGGTCACGAAAAAGACGCAGTGGGACAAATCTCGTGAATTAGGTGGCTGAAGCATGATGACGGTGTTGTTTTTGGCTAGAAAATCACGAACAAGCAATTACGAGTGAGCAGGTACATTATCATGGCAGAAGCCACGAATTGTTTCTCCACAACACAGGACGTCTTCTTGGTATTGAATCTTGTAAGCAGCGCATAACTTACTTACATAATATTACTTATTGACCAAACGACCATGTGGCAAAAACTTCTGATGCACTACGCCACGATAATCGAAGAAAACAATGAGCAAATCTTTGACCTTTTATCGAACGTGGCGAGCATTTTTTGGTCTTGGCTCTCCTGGGCCTGGATTCAATTGGAACTATTGAACTTTGGTTTCGATGTCATAAACATATACCCATGATTTGTCACCAGTTATGAACCATTTAAGCAAATTTGGATCACCATTTACGTAATTCAACAAATCCTGAGCAGTGCCTATACAACGGTTTTTTTGGTCAAACTTCAGCAATTTTGAAACGAACTTCGCTGTCACACGATTCATGTTCAGAATTACCAAAAACACTTCATGGCATAAGCCAACCGATATGCTGACGTTTTCAGCAACTTCTCTAATAGTAATTTTATGATTCTCCATAACAACAACATTTTCAGAGATTGTTGATGTGTTGGAGCGTACAGTACGAGCGTCGTCATTCACTTTCTCGACCTTCTGTGAGAAGCTTGTACCACTTGTAAACATTTTTCTGAGTCATGCCAGAGTCATCATTTCGAATATTTTTGAGCACGCAATTACATTTTTCAAACAAAATACATTTTTTTATAGCCGAAATTTGTCAGACACGCGAAACACTACTAACTTTCATGCCTCTCACAAAACAGCTGAAACTGTAAACATACAGGGTGTAACATAAGTACGTTAAAATATTCAAGTGACGTATTCCTGAGACAATTCTGAGAAAAAAAGTATATTTGAACTTGTATCCGAAAATGCTTCGTTCCGGAGATACTGGGTGTTGAAATTGAATTTTTTGGTTCGCTTTTTGGAAATAACTCTTGCAGAAAATGAGTTATTTGCACGAAATTCAGTACCCGGAGACTTTTTGACGTGGTAAAACATAATTTCGTATTAATTTTTATGTAACATCTAGAGGGCGCTGTGTCCGCTGTCATTATTTATTTCAAATTGCCCTAACTTTTTTGACAGTAAACTTTTGGTACTTTTCATGAAAAAACATAATTCCCACACCTTTTCCGAATAAAAAAAGTACACTTCCTCAATAACGCTGGAGGTGATCGTTTTCGAGATATTTACAATTTTCTATATCGATGCATATTACTTCATAGCCAAATTTGATTTCAATAATTTTTGTCACTCTCCGCTTGCAAATTAAGTTAATCGAGTAGGCTATGAAAGTTTGTTTATAAAAATAGAAGATTTTACAAATGCTGAAATGGCTGATATGGTTTTTGCATATGGCTTGGCTGATGGAAATTCAAGCGAGGCCAGAAGCATCTATCAGGAAAGGTATCCCCAACGCGTGACTCCTAGTGCAGCGACATTTGCGAATCTTTTCCGGCGACTTTCCGAATATGGAAGCTTTAAAACACTTCCAGAACTGTAGAATTGGAGGAGGCGGTTCTCGAAGAAATTAGTGAACATCCAGAGACAAGTACAAGAAAAATTAGTCAATAGCAGTGATCTGATCTTTTATATGTCATATAGGTTGAATTTTATGATGAACGGGACATCTTCTGATTTTTATTCAAATTCAATTGCTCAGATCTTTCACGCAAACTGATTTGGGGATTGGCACGAACTGAAGCTAAGACACTAACTATCATCATCATGGTACCTTCGATTTCGATGTGGATTGTCGATAGCTGGACGTTTCTTTAATATTGTTACGTTTTTCCCAGTGGGTTAGTCAATAATCGACGACACGGTATAATCAAACTCAACTTCATTTCACTTTAAATGCAACAAAACCTCAACTGTTATTTGAATGTCTATCATCTCACTAGATCACTTCGCGTTCCGCTCTGTATCGTCCACTTAACTGTCTCGATATCCTCGTGGTTAGCCTTTGAATATCGTAATCGAATGCCGTAGAAATTTCGTCGAAGTTCCGTCGAAATCGGTAGCATAATTCTCGCTGCTTCTAGAGTCGCGGGGAATCATCGTATATTCGCGCGCTCTTAGCTACGTCACCACTGGTTTGTGGCTACAAGTGGCGGTCGGTGTTATTATCTTCGGTCATGAATTACAACAATACACTTTCGGTTTGAGTAGAAAGTTTTTTCACGGAGGCTGCCGTTTCATGTCGAATACGATTTCGTTACGGATGTTTTCTGTTGGAGTCTAGAGCAATTTGTCTGCTATTTCGAGCATCATCACTAAATATCCTCATTATTTCAATTTTTTCTCGTAAATCAAGACTTTCTATGGGTATTGTGTTACTGTTTTTGACGTATTCACTTTCAAACTGACATTTGAGGTATGAATAGTTCATTTGTTACAATGACACTTTACCCCAAATTGAACACTGTTGAAACCCATAATATGAGACTGTTTTAAAACATTGAGAATGACGATTCTCCATCCAAAATTAGGCAAGTTTGCAACCAATCATATTCAACAGGAAATTGAAAAATTTTTCAAAATTGGAGACAAGCTAGTTAATGCGATTAAGGGCCGGTTTATCAATATGTAGTTAAATGCTCCTGTTAGTTACCTCGAAGCTAAGCTTAGCTGATAGTCAATGTTGCAGTTAGTATTCAAATCGTTTATCATACCCTGACTGATGCTAATGTTTAATAACTGTTAGTTAACTAAGGTTGGCATAAGTGACTATTTCAGGGGCTTGTTTTTATTGGAGGATTGATTTTCAAAAATGACAAATGATAACAAAAAGTTCATGAGTTATACATAATAACCTATATGAGTTGAGAGGGCATATGAAAAACGAAAATGAGCAATAAAAGAACATCCAATTTTACTGAAACAGACAGATCACTCCTAATAAAAATTGCCAATTCCTATAAATTTATCATTGAGAACAAAAAATAAACTGATGCCATCACATGGAAGAAGAAAGAAGAGGCCTGGAAAATAGTTGAATTTGATTTTAATTCCTCTACATCAGGACCTGTAAGTCTCTACCTCATCTAATTCTTTGAAAGCATCATTACGTTCATTAACAATGTAAGGTCTTCCTTGAACTCCAATATATCCTCATCTTCGTCATTCAACAAATGGAAAACTTCTTTAATAAAACAATTATAGTAATTAACCCTTTACTTGCAAAAAATATTTCTCAAATTATCACAAAAAACATAAATAACCTAATTTCGCATGCGCGACCACATAACCACAGAATATCGGAACTGATATTTTGTGACATAACTGTCAGCTTAAATAAAAAAACTATCACTTTCTAGCGACTGATACAGTCACTGAGACTTCAGCTACCAGTTGATGCTAACATGATAACGAAAAACAGTTTGACTAGGAGCTAAGACAAAACCATTAGTCAAATGAGGTTAGCTGGCGATTGATAAACCGGCCCTTAATTTGATTGATGATGATTTTCAATTTCATTCATTCCAATCCATTTATTTCATTAACTTTGACTATTTTATCATTTCTGTAGTTTCTTATTCGAAACCATCAATGGCAAATCGGGCTTGAATATGAAAATCACAAAAAACTCTAATTTCGAATTTTCAGTCGAAACTTGGTATGTAGAGTCAAAATCGATTACAACTTTTTCAAATAGGCTGGGTTTAAGGCTGTATGTGTTGTGAAAAGTGCGGTGCATGTGAACCAAAAATCAAATTACTGCTTCAAAAATGACTAAAATACAGGGGGTCTTTATCTTAAGTGTGCCACACTGTATGAAAACAGGTGTTTAGCTATTATGCAATACACATTATAATTTTTATTACCTTGTAGAAACTATAACCTTGATTTTTTTCAAATTAGAAACAGCAGCGTTGGCTGTTTCATCATAATTCCTGGCCAAAATGAGGGTTTCGTTTGATCCTATCCATGTAGCAATAAGCTCTTCGTCGACAATATTATAAAGAAATAGGTCGAAGTCAACTCTGTTTCCATATTCATCAAACTTAATAGGCCCTGTTAGGGTGTCGAGAGAATCCATCTGAAAAAGATTTATTGTTTGGGTTTTATATCTTATCTCACATGAAAACAACAACAAACACATCTGTAAGTCAGCATGGGATATACTACAGTGTGTCCAAGATAAGGAGCGCCAGCAACACAAAGTCCGTTAAATTAGGAAGAAGTTCTCTATTTCACAGCTTATTCAAGTGACGTTTAGAAATTCAGAAAATTTCGATTATGTGTGTCAGCAAAAAGGCGACTTATGAATATTTATTTTTACTGTGTCGTGGTATACCCGTATACTGATCGATAGAGAACTTTGTACTCTATACGTTGATGCTGTTTTTTTTTCAAATTTAAATTTTTTGTCTTTTTTTCAGCTTACTTAAGATATCGTTAAGCTTTCTTCTGCCAATTTTCCTATACGATTTCGAATTGAACCAAACCGAACCGAAACAGCCAAAAGATCAACTTGGCATTTGGCAATGAACGCACCCACATTAGTTTGCGAAATTTCGTTCCGGTATACCTTTTTTTTTGGGTATTCTCTGTGCCTACGGTTTCTGAGTTTTTTTTTGAGAGCAGATGGGTCATGAGTTAACAACAAAAAATTAGAGGTTGAAATCATTTCTAGTTAATGAAAGGGCGCCAATTAGTTTGAGTTCATACGTGAAAATTTAGACTATATATAGTTAATCAACTAATAAATCAATTATAATTAGAAATAGATGGAACATCAAGAAAAGAAAGACTATTGTTGGGACTTATAATATATTCAAATAACATTTTACTTATAAACAATCCAAAAAAAATAATCTATCATGAATGATTCGCAAGATGTCCCCATTGAGAGCAATATTTTCATTGATCATTCCCATATTGATTTCAATTTAAGAGCCACCGGTAGAAAGCTGTTTCAGCCTATTGTGCATCGTCAGTACCGGGCAGGCGGTCCTCGATTGAAGACAAAATGAGAAAAACCAAGAAAGTACTTGATAAAAATAGCTGCGTAAAACGCAAGCAAAACATAAGTGGAACCACCTATTGGTGTGACACCTAAGTCAACTTGCCAAGTTTTTATGTCAGTGTCGGTGGTTTGACCAATCAACCGACAACTGCGGAAGCAGAAATTTGGGAAGCTAACCTGAAATGCCATCGGAAAACGAATCCACATGTTCCTAGAAATGATATAAAATCTTGAAAGGTTAATGCAGTCAAGCTGCTGGAAAATAATTCCATGAAAATCAAAAAATAAATAGATGAGTACTTTTTGATCATAGAATAAAGAAAATACTTTTTTCTAGTTTCTACTGTATTTATTTATTCGTTACGACCGGTTTCGGCTTATAAGGCCATTTTCAAGTAACTACCACGAATTGTCAAGTTGCGTCTTAAATAGTGTGGACAGGTATCTGCTCTAGGTACATGTCCTAACACGTTACCAATATTACAATATGTCACAATTACCAACTACTGGATGGATCCTAAAATTCCTAAATTCAAAAGGGGCGACCTGCATAGATCCTTCGTCCAGGAAATAATATAAATACGAAGGTTATCGAGTGTCTTGATATAGATAAAGGAGTTTTTTAATCGGACATAGCACTCAAGGAAGTCGCAAACCATAGACACGGGTTTCGGGCTTTTGGCCCATCATCAATATGGTGCAGCCAAGTGTAAGGATGGGCAACACTTGGTTACCAGAAGAAATAATTACAAATGCACGGAGCCACCAGCAGGAGCCAGCCGCACATTTGTGGTTTCACTTAATAGTGAAAACTATCAAAATCACCACCTCCGTGGTGATTTTGATCCACATAATGGAGTTATTCTAAATTCCATGTACACTTGGTGTCATATAAGCTGTCCTATAAGCTGAATTGTTACACCAGAAATTTTTGCCTCGAAGATGAGCCCCGAAGTGGTCGACCAACACTAATCCAGGACGGGGATTTAAGGACCCTGGTGGAGACTAGTCCATCACAAATAGTGCGTGTGATGATGGAAGAACTGAGCGACAGTTCCCACGCAGTTTTTGATGGTGTACTCCTAATTGGAAAGGTCAAAAAGCTCGATAAGTTGATGATACATAATTGGAACTATCGACAGAAATTGTCACGTATCGAGGCCTGTTCTTTGCTTTTGCGCAACCAAAATAATTGTTTTTTGGATCGGATCGTCACGTGTGATGAAAACTGGATCCTTCAATACTGCAGGAGACTTTCACAACAGTACTGGACACCGATGAGCTACCTAGGTACTTTCCAAAGGCAAAAATCCAGCGATAAAACACCATGATTACTGTGTGATTGTCAGAGGCTAGTGTGATTCACTATAACTTTCTGTAACGGAAATTGTGTCGGCAGCAGCCGGCAGTGGTCAATAGAAGAGGTCCGATCCTGCTCTACGATAATGTCCGTCCGCATGTTTCCCAAATCACTGTCCGAAAACTTAACACGGTGATGCGCCTCACCCACCATACCTCCCCAGACCTCTGGTCAACCGACTACCGTCTTTTCAAGCACTTTCAACTTTCTCATCGATGGAATCAGGACCAGGCAAAAATGAACTTCGTCAATTTCATCAAATCCCGGGGATACAATTTTTATGCTAACGGAATTAATAGATATGTGTTACGTTGGCAAAAGTACACTGATCCAAATGGCGTTTGTTTCGATTGAAGTGAAAAAGTATTTACTGAGATATTACAGATTAAAGTAGACTCATATAAACGGACAAAACTTTCGAAACAACCTAATAATAATATTACATGGGACCAATTTATTGTTTTTATGGTATGAATGAAATAATATGAATTGAGTTGAGTGCAGAAAATGAAGTCTGAAGTGTTCATAGTAGACGTTCATCGGATTTTAATTATTGATGGGATGACATCATCATACTGGCGGTTGCATAGTGTTCTTAATGTTTATTGCAAAAAATCATGACGTCCCAGATATATTATGTTTCATTTCAGCAATTCTTACATTTTTGATGGCATCAATTAGTGCAGGTCCAGTCGGGAATTTTTTTGAGTCGAAACAGCTGATCCTATTATTAGAAACAGTCGTCATCTCATTTAGAGCTTCTGTCAAATACAACAGGGCGTCGTGAAATACAACAGTTTCAGTCTGAAAAAAAGTCGTGTAAGTCTAAATGTCCACTTTCCTCTAAAATTAGTACATTGAGAATCACCAAAAAGCGAAAGTATATAATCAACCTTTTAACAATTTTTTCAGAGACATATCACAACAAACTTACAACTATAATTGAAAAAATATATTTTTGATACTTTTTTACTGGAAACTATATTCATGATAACTTTGTATAGATCAAAATTATTTACACATTAATTTTCTCTGATGAGATTTTTCAACAGTTGTTAACATTTTATATCTTTCATCGTTCTTTGTGAATTCATGCCATTTTATTTTTAAACCTTATTTTGGTGAGTTTTTTCCATATGTTTTTCAATTTATTGTTTGCTTTCATTTTTTATTTCTAGATATTCCTTAAAAAAACAAATAAAACATTCCGAAAGCTTTTTTTAAAATGGTTCAATGAAGCAAATGACAGTGATAGTGATGTTGCCGATGTGCCGGAAAATTATAAAATAGAATAAAATAGAATGGAATAGAATAGAATAGAATAGAATAGTTTATTGGCTACGTGATACATTTGAACAAATATTTGTATCAAGTCACAACACAAAAATTTATAAATATGACGTCATATATACAAATAAAACCATCACAATGCTTGTATAACAGAACAGTGTACATAATAATGAAAACAATCAATCAACCAATGTTAAAAATGAGAACACTTGTGACTCACTCAAAGTCACATGAAATATCTATGTTGTATAACATGTATTCATCTGTAGAATAAAAACAGTGATTAAAAAAATGATTTCAGTTTTTGCTTGAAACAGTAGAAACTGAGTTGTTTTATGTGACATGGTAACTTATTATAGAATTTCAAATTCAATTAATTATTTTATGAGGTGCTCAGTCTGAATCTCTCAGTTCGTATCAGATTTCCTGATCTTGTAGGATATTCATGTTGTTGCGATTGTAAAATATATTTTGATTTATTTCTATGAATTTAAATCAATGTTTCTTATACAAAAGCTGTAGGAAGCGGCATAATTTTGAGATGAATAAAAAGTAGGCGACAATGAGCTTTAAAGTTGGCATTAGATATTAGACGTATAATTTTTTTTTGCAATATAAAAACTCTAGAAGCATCGACTGCATTTCCCCAAAACAATACATTGCATGGGATATGACAATAAGCTATGGCATAGTAAACACATGGAATGACAAGAATCCCCCCACAATACTATGCCATATACCATGTAACTATGGAAGAGTCCTTCAGTCTACGAATCATAAATATTGCACTTGATAATTTCTTGGCCAGTTTGTCAACATGATATGACCAGTTCAATCTGTCGTCTATATGAACCCCTAGTAATATTGAATCAGAACCGATACCGATTCAGAATTGTCTGCTACTGAAGACGTTGAAGAAAATGATGTAACTGAAGTTAACGACAATGCCAAGACTTACGTATGGGGAAAAAATCGATACCGATGGTGTACGCCCTTCATCGAGAACACGTAACAAAATATTATAATAAAAGTACCTACTCTGAAGGCGAAATCCAAAATGCTAGGCGAAAGTGCGGATCCGTTATCCATTTGGGATTTGCTTTTCAGTGATAACATGTTGCAACATATTCTACAGTACACAAACCGAAAATTGAGTGTTATTCGTGAAAGGTATTCTGTCAATTCCAGACATCATGTGAAAAACATTGATATCATAGAGCTGAAGGCATTTTTTAGCCTTTTGGTGTATACAGCAATATTTAATTCCAGATCGGTTATTTGCAACCGATGGAACTGGAAGAGAGATATTCAGATCGGTCATGAGCAAAAAGAGGTTTGCTGTTATATTAGTTACGATTCGACAATCCTGAAGATAGAGAGGAGCGCAAGAAAGATGATCCAGTTTCAGCAATTTCATTTATTTTCAATAAATTCATACAAAATTGTCAAAGTGCTTAAGGACTTGGTCAGTCTGCTACTGTAGATCAAATGCTTGTGAGTTTCCGAGGAAGGCCTGTTTAAAATGTATATGCCTGATAAACCGGCGAAATACGGCCTCAAAATACAATGCCTCACGGATGCGCGAAATAGTTATGTATACAATTCATATACAGGGTGTTCCTTAAACACATGCTAATATTTAAGGAGGTAATTCTTAGAGCCATTTTAAGGAAAAAACGTCCCATGGACGTATGTCCTAAACGCCTTAACTTTTGAGATACAGGGTGGCAAAGTTTTCAAAAATAATCAGTTTTTTAATAATAACTGAGATAANGTTTACAAGTAGATGTGTATATGTAAATTTTCTGTATGTCATATTATTTGGATTAATATGTATTATATGTTTTCTTTTAATAGTCTTCATTTTCACGCATCCTACTTTTTATTGTTTATTATAGCCATAGTGAATTAAATATTTAATCTATTTGAATGTTTATTCTTTGCTTGGCCTGTCAAAATGAGTAGTCTCTGAGACTACGCCTGACCATTAACATAACAATATAGCTCCGGACCAGTTATAGGTTATAACAACATCATGATGAATTTATTTCTGTCCAAAATTAATAATGCTAATAATGTTGTTCGTCTAGTATTTTGACTATGAATATTATTGATTTCGATCATGTGGATGTTCGACATACAGTTTATATACAGAAATCGTTTTATTAGTAGGTATCAACTCCTGCCGGCTCTTAAGTTCAACTCACTACACATTATTTGTATTCATTGTTTATTTCTGTTGATATTCACAAATTCTGATGAAATTCTGATGTAGTTAATTGAGCTGGAGTTGAAAAACAGGATCTATTGACAGGCCACCCATTCATCACATTTCAGTATGTAGTTTGTCATTTGGTTTATCATATTGGTGATGAATAAAGACGTTTTTATTAATCGATTAGAACTGACCTTGATAGAATTTGAAGTCAGTTCATTTCTTCTATTATAGTATTGAAACTGTGAAAGAGACCACTTGAAAACAACATTTCTGAACTCATCACTTTTATAATCAAATATCCTTATTGTTGTAATATTTGCAGTTGTATTCAAGTTAGAGAAGTCCAGAGTATGAGCGTCCTGAAAAAAAAAAGAATAGTTAAATTCAAAAGTAAATTTTTACATACAGGGTGACGGTTTGAAAACTTACAATAACTATATCTGAGCAACCGAATAAAATATAAGAAATCGCTGAAAACAACTTCCATAATGGGAAGGGGGAAACAGAATGATGTAATAGCTAAATGAAAAGAGAAATGAAAATTTCTGCTAACTTGTTTTTACTTACCCCCTCGCCCCCAACCTTCATGGACTCAAATGGCAACCCCCCACTCGTGAGAACTTATCTATAAGCTCTTGAGAAATGATTTTCCAAGTTACCATATAGAGTAAGTAACATTCAATGTGGATGTTTTTTGTTTATTGAATAAAACTATTTATTTAAATGAAAATTTTATTTTTTATTATTAATTTGAGAAATGTTCGAAATGATTTCCATTCTTTTCATGACAATGATAGAGTCTATTCTCAAACTCTTGCCGTACACTGGCAAATGTTTATCTAGAAATAGCTCAGCATTCTTGGATCATTTCTTCCTTCAGTTGCTCTATTCAGTCAGGTTGCGTCTCAAATACAATAGATTTTAGGTAGCCCAAGAGGAAGAAATCAAGAGGAGATAGGTCCGGGATCTAGAAGGCCATTCAATAAGATATCTTCTTCCAATCCATTATCTAACCATTGTCTAACTAGAACTACATAATGAGGAGGTGCCCCATCCTCTTGAAAAAGTAATGAATTCCCTCTTAAGATAAATTGCCGTATATGTCTCTCTGATTCTCTAATTCTTTAATTCATAAACTATCCGTGGTTCGATATATCTTTCCAGCATGTGAGCATACATTTTGCCATTGAAATTTCCTTCTATGAATGATGGACCAATAATAATTGCATCTCCGAATATACCACCCCAAACATTTAATTTTTCGGGGTATTGCGAATGACCTTCTCTAAATAGTCGTGGGTTCTCGTCACTCCAGTAAAGTCAGTTTTGTTTATTTGCGAACCAATTTAAATGATAGTTCAGGCGTAAAATATTTAAGAATCTTAATATTGATGCTACGATGGTAATAAGAATGTTTTCAAACATTACTTCAATTAATAATAGAAAATAAAATTCCAATTCAAGTAAATAATGTTTGATTCAATAAACCAAAACTCTATACATCGAATGTAGCTTTGTAGCATTGAAGAGCATTTCTAAAGAGCTTTTAGATAAGGTATAATAAGTAGAGGGTTGGCATATGAGAATATAAAGTTGGGGTGGTTGGGGCGAGGAGGTAAGTGACAGTTGACTGCTAGCAGTTAAAGCTATAGAGAAACAGAAAGCGATTTCTCATTTGATATCCAAGTCGGGGCTTTGAAATGGACGACTGTTTTTGATATCGTTGTTTGAGTCTTCTACTGATTGTTGAAAACTAATGTGTCAAGTGTTTTCCGTTAACTAGCTGTGGCCCCATGAATGACTCGGATGTNTAACATCCTATTTCGATTGGGAAAACGTATAATCGAAATGATAAGAAACAAGACATGACATTGAATTATTATTTTTTTCAAGGACGAACACAAGCATTAGCGGAAAATTCTTGAGGCGTTCTAAGAGCGGTGCCTGTGTGAGAGTAGCGATTTACGTTGGATTTGAATCGCTGGAGATTAGATTCATTTGAAAGAACGTTCTCAGGAAGTTCTTCAAATGAAAGAGTTCTTAAACAGTGGAGTTCGAGGTGTACTGAGTTGAACCTCAAAAAAATGAGCAGCCACAGTCCGGCGCGTATTTCAAATGTGCCAAGTCACTTGAACACCACCCGTGAAAGTATATATCGAAGAGAGACAAATCTCCAACCTTTCTTCGATGTTCCAGACTATCAAGGTTGCAAGTGTCTCCAATCAGGCGGATGGCTCTTTTCTGTATGGAATCCAGCAGCTTCAGGGTATGCTTAGGGGCGGAGCTCCATACATGAGAACAATGTTTCAAAGAAGGTCAGATCGAGCTTTTTAAAGCATCAAAAGTTGCTGAGGTGTTTACAGTTTTCTGATTCGGAACAGTGTTCCGAGCTTTTGTGAAGCAGCGACATGATTGTTCCAAGGAATATTGGTGTTCATTTTAACCCCCTACAAGCTTTTCGGAGCAGAAAGCTGTCCTGACATCAATATATCCGGTTAATAGTATATAACCTATTTAAACCCCGATTCGAAATCATCTCTAGATCCTCCTGCTTCCTGTGAAGGTGGGCAGCCGATGTCCTGGAATCCAAATGGAATGACGAGACAATTGTGCTGTTGTCAGCAAAGCAATATATTTCAATATTGAATTTGTGGAATTATTTGAAGTATAATTAAATAAATTATGAAACAACAATGGAAATTAATTAGCGCTCCGGGCGACTTTATTGATTCCAGTGGCGCATTTGCTCTTTTAGCTGCAGGAAAACCCGGAAAAACCTGCAGCACCACATCATCTGAAGATCTTGATCTGCCAATGCCCTCTTTCTTATAAAACAAAATGTAGGGTGCCTCCAGAGGCTCCAATAAATTCAATACGTCGCCAGAACACTTCGTGACTCGACTGTCGTCAAACTTAAACCGGTCCGTTTCGTCTTTGACCAAGGCGTAATCATGACCAAATTCAACGCCAGAACCATAGTGAACAATGACTGCATGAAGATTATAATAGTGGTCTGCTATATTGAAGTGTTAATCTATTTCGTAAGAGTTGAGGTTGAGTCATATTTGAAGATCATCAGTGTTATTATTAGATTGACTGGTGCCTCAGCTATACTTGTTTTCTTATAACAGTCAGTTACTTTGGCGCATGTTTGGCAATACAGTCGATCATCACCTGTTTAAAGTTCCATTTTCAGATTATTTTGCAATAATGAATGAATCGAAGAGGTTTTGTATTAAAGTGTATAATATTTTAAAATTCGGGAGACCGTATAATCTCCCGAAGATACACAAAGATGGTACTCCAATCAGACCAGTGGTAAGCTTTTACAATACTCCTGTCTCTATCTTGTCAACATTTGTCTTACAAGTGANTTGGCTATAAGCCTATTTTGTTTTATATAATTCAAATATTACAATGTACAATTCACTTATCTTGATACTTCCTGTTGCCTGACAAGTAAGTAATCTCAAACAATTTTTCCAAATTTCTTAACCTTAAAAAATTTTACAACTTCAATTTCAGTAATTCCCTTTTCAACTAGATCACTTACTTTCAGGTGAGCACTGATGATGACGAAAGTCGAAAGCGCTTTGCAAGAATTTTAAAATATTATACACTTTAATACAAAACCTCTTCGATTCATTAATTCAAATAAGTGTATTCAGCTTTTCCAAATCCATTAATTTTGCAATAAGCTTTGCACGGACTGGTTATTAATCATATAAGGAAACGCTAGTTGAAGTTTCAGAAATTCACATGCGTTGCTACCTCTTGAACATTTACTACAAAGTAAACAAGTGAGGATTTTTCCAGCAAAAGATTTACAAACACAAGACGAGATAGATTGTATGGAATTATTCAATCTAGAGCGGTCAGGAGTATTTATTTTGCTACTGTTCTGCTCACGAAGAGTATTCAACAAAAAACCCAAGAATTCGAAACAATCCTCTTGTTGTCCTAACAAGTATCTAGTGGACTTCAAAGACTCCAGGATATCGGTTGGAGGGAAAGATGATACATTCTTACGAAACTGCAGCTGTATGAACAGGTGTTTGAGTTTGGTGAATAAATAGGAAAGATTCCCGTTCTCGTTCAACATTAAAACCTCGTTCTTGATATTCTTCGTCATGAACAACACTTGTTAAATGCTATTCATGTAGCAAGTGCTTCCTAAATTATCTAATCCAATTTTCTTCTCAAGGTTTTCAGGACAACTCTCTACTGATTCGTAAGGAAGAACATGTTTCACATAATCTGCATAAGAACCATTTCTCAAGCTGCGATCGATCCCTCCAAGTGATGAAGGGTTTCGTAGAGGAATCGATTCGGCTCTTGCTTCATGAAGCTCTTTCACTGAAAGGGAACCAGAACCACGAGGACTGCAACTCATATTTGGGGGACAAGAATGACATAAGTTCATTGACCACACTGAAAAAGAAGAAGGTGGATCAATCACTTGTGAATTGACCTTGATAGGAGACTGATGAATATCCACATATCTCGTTTCGTTTCGAAGAGATTTTAGTGTCGTACTGAAATTAGGGCAATGCATGATCTGTATCTCTGTATCTGTAGAGTAGGGAGGGTGAGTGTAAGACCACGCACTTAGGCCACATGTGATCCATTGTACATCCTCCCGAGGAGTTGTCCTCCTAGGTCATCGTCCATCCTGTCCTTACCAGGAAGGTGGACAGGTCGCTGGCAGACATCTCCTTTATATCGGCAGGTGTAGCCACACACTCTCTTATTGACGATAACTCCGGGCACTCGCACAGGACATGCCCGACAGTCTCATCTTCCTGTTCACACATCCTGCATAGAGGTGTGTCCACTAGCCCCATATTATGGAGGTGTTTCCTTATGGCATGCATGATCTCATCAAAATTATTGAATGAGGAATAGTTCCAAGGACCGAAGCGGCATCACTACGTTGAATAGCAATACTAGTTCTTTCTATCAAAATGTCTTTTCCAATAAGTCATTGATAACATCCTATCGATCCTCAAAAGTAGTTTCATATTGTAGCCTTGACATAATTTCAGATTTCGAACTTATGATGATGATTTTTCACTTATGCTTCTTTCATTCTACCCACTAGTGGGAAAATAGTGTACGTCAAAATTAATGTTGGATTGATTCTCGGTCAACGCATTCATAAAAATTAAAAAAATTGTGAAAGCTTTCTTCACAGGAAAAAAAGAAATTGAATAGTAATGCATGAACATTTCCAAAGTATTTAAAAAAATCAAGATGAGGTGAAAGTTTTATCTATGAACTTTCAATCTAGACTGTACATATAAAATAGTCATAAGATCAAGTTGAATCGTGAGTTATCTCACAAATCGCTGAAATTATAAACATCAAATGCCAAACCAAATACCATACTTGTAATCTGGGCCGCCTTTCAGTTGTTCCACACGAATGAAGTCCTGACTGTTTTTTCTCTCCCAAGTTTGGAGCTTCAAAACTTCTTGTAATCTTATGAGTCCCTCTTCATTTTCGTAGATCAAAACAAACCCATTCCATTCTAAACTCTTCACAATCGCAGCTATTCCTCTGGAAAGTCGACCGGACTCGGGATAGAAATTGAGGAAAGTTTGAGAATGATCTTGAGTCGTTTCCCTCCATGACGATGAGATATACGGAACTTCGAATGTTTTGCATATTGACTCTATCACCGGGTTTATGACGGTTGTCGGAGGACCAAAAATGGTTATGAGTCCATCTCCGGAGTTCAATAAATCACAAACTGGAAAATAACAAAAAAAATTTTTGAAGTGAGACGAAAAAGGTCACTCTTTCCGTTTTGCTTCAACAACAAAGAATGTCTGAATTCTAGCCCTGTAGTCGACGCATCAGCCCAAGCAATCATAATTGCTTGTGTCATTTTTACATAAAGGCGCGTACGGTGCTACGAGCCTCAGTACATCTTGCAACGGTCTCGACGCGGCGGTGGCGGACTTCGAATTGTCTGTGAACAACGCTTTCCGCGCAGCCACAACTAGGACAGAGTATCCGCTGCGAAGCTACAATGAGTTCCCTCCCAGGATAAAGAACCTTACCTGGGAGAGAAATCGCCTCAGACGAGTTTATCAGCGGACTCTCTATCCTGGAGACAAGGCTGCAGCCAACCAAGTTAAACAGGCCATCACTGACTATAGAAACGAGAGATGGACCGAGTGTTTGAAATTGCTTGAACCTGGGGATGACGAGCTATGGCGAGTCCTCCGCAGGCTCGAGAAGGGGAAAACCGCTCCCTCCCCTTTTCACGGAGAGCGCGGTATCTGCTACTCCCCTACCGAGAAGACGTTGGCTTTTGCAGACACAATGGAGAGTCAGTTTCAACTTAATGTTGATCCGGATGATGATATTGACCATGATATCCGGCTGGAACACCGGGTTCGGTGCATCCTTAGGGAAGATGATGACTACGAGGGGGTACATTAGGGCCTCCAAAACCCAAGAAGGCTCCGGGAGTTGATTCAATCAACAATAGGTTGTTGAAGCAGCTCCCAGAGAACTTCATCAAATATCTGCTGGACATTATTAACAGTTCAATCGCCCTCAGATACTTCCCTCGAAGATGGAAGCATGCCGTAGTCGTCATGATTCCGAGAAGGGCCAGAACCCGCTGTTTCCGCAGAATGGTCGTCCGATTCATCTGCTTTGCTCAGCGGCTAAGTTGGCTGAACGTGTTGTGCTGCAAAGGCTAACTGAAGGAGTTGAAGACTCAAATGTTCTGCCTGACGAACAATTCGGCTTCAGGAGGGAACACTCCACCGAACTGCAGGCCCCGAGACTGGTAAAAAATTCCATCTCAGAGCTGAACAACAAGAACACAGTCCATCTCGTCCTCCTGGAAATTTCGAAAGCCTTCGACCGAGTCTGGCACGAAGGCCTGTTACACAAAATGCTCGATTTTGATTTGCCTCGGGGCCTGGTCCGGTGGACTAGGTTCTTCCTGAAAGGCAGAACATTTCAGGAATTGAAGGAACCCTGTCTCCTGTCAGGGAAATCTAAGCTGGAGTGCCTCAGGAAGCTGTGCTGTCTCTACTATTGTACAGCCTTTACGTGAGCGACCTTCCGAGGTTCGATCACGTAAAAGTTTCCCTTTACGCCGATGATACGGCTCTCCTTGTCTCTTCCATGGGTCGGGCGTTGGCGGTGGTCTACTTGCAACGTGCATTGGACGACCTCGAATGCTGGTACCTGGAGTGGAAGATCCGGGTGAATCCAGAAAAACTCAGGCGATAGATTTGGGGAGACGTAACGTTCCTCCAGACACAAGGGTCACGATCTCAGGCAGGGAGATCGAATGGCAAACGCGAGTCAAGTACCTAGGTCTCTGGGTAGACCACCGACTTACCTAAGCAAATCACATCGACTATATCAAGAGCATAGTCCGATGGAGGATTTCCAAACCCTATCCTCTGATTAAAAACTCAAAGCTCAATCTTGAAAATAAGATTTTACTTCACAACACGATGTTCAAGTCTGTCATCATGTATGCTTCAGGCACCTGAGGACAAACCGCTCCGTCAAATCTTTCCATTTTGGAAAGATTGCAAAACAAACTTCTAAGGATGCTGGTGAATGCTCCATGGTTCGTGAAGAATGAAGCCATCCGCAGAGATTTGAAGCTGTTAACTATACGGCAGTCCATTCAGTCGAGGAATCAGAAAGTTTTCTAGTCAGCGGAAACTCATGATAACCCATTAGTTAGGGAAGCTGTAGATTATACTATAGACGACTTCTTCCGATACAGAAGGCCCCGTCGCTCGCTTGAGTGAAGGCCCCGTCGCTCGGTTGAGTGAAGGTACCACGATGTCTGTTAAAATGAACAGTTTGTTCATCAAACACCCCAGTCAGGAAGGGGTACACAAGGCCAAAGCGGCATAGAGGTCATTGATCTTTATGTTGTCACCAAAAACACCTTCAGTTATAAACTACTCGTCCTCCTGATGAAAAACAGATGAAAAGGTATGGAAAAAATTTCCTAACTGATGAAAATGAAGATGACTATCGTGAGCCTTCGAGCTAGCCCACGATGCATGTACTACACTAGTTTCAACGCAGTGTATTAGAGACAACGATTTTAGAGCACATTTCGGTCTTTGGGTAAGATTTTATTATATATCTGAAAAAATTCATCCATATTTTTGTAATCAAGGCTTCAATTTTATTTAAAAAAATCTATATGTCTTACAGAATAATGCACGAAAAAGAAGTTGAAAGATTGACCCGGTCGTTCGAAAAAGTTTCATCTGATCTGGAACATTTCTCAGATTCGGAAGACACAGTGCCGGACCCACAGTATGAACATTTCAGTGATTATAAATCTGATAGCGAACAGGAGATAGAAGAACAATTACTCATTCGACCCAGTATTTGTGGGTGCAGTCATCTACAATATAGTTCAAAAGATGAAACGAAGTGGAATAAAATATGCCATTCCAGAAATATAACAATAAAAACAAGTCTGATGCTTCTTTATCTAGCCGGAGTTCATCATGGAGGGCAAACCGCAATTTTTGAATTTTGGTCTGAGAGTCTAAGGATGGTACAGGTGTATAAATATTTTCGGCAACAATGGCACTCAGAAAAATATTTGGCGCAGTTGTGAAGAACTGTCAAAAACACTACTCTGTTGGGAAATTTACTACAATCGATGAAATGCTGTGGTCTTTCAGGGGCCGTTGTCGTTTTAGGTTGTATATTCCAAATAAGCCTGCTCTATATGGAATAAAGGTATTTTTATTAGTAGATTCAAGGTCATTCTATACTTACAATATAGAAGTATATTGCGGTAAACAGTCTCCAGGTCCTTGTTGTGTTAGTAACAGTTCATCTGACGTTGTGAATAGTCTTTGTTTAGGTACCATTGTCAAAATCTAGGAGAAATGTTACAATAGATAATTGGTTCACTTCCGTTGAAGTGGGCAATATTTTACTGAAAAATAATCAGCTGACAATTGTGGAAATACTTCGAAAAAATTAGAGGCAAATTCCCAATGATTTTTTTACTCAACGACCAGAAAAGTCGAGCATGTTTGATTTTGAAGATTTGACTATCGGAGAAAAAATCAGATTATTTCATTATCAACCCTTAATCATGACGATTCTAGTGATGAGGCATCTGGTGCAGAGGGAGTTTTCTTAAAAACTACCTATAATCTATTTCCGATCATAACCATAAGATTAGGTACTTACCAGCTTTAGATGTTTCGAATATGTCATAACTTGGTAGGTATTGAATATTGCTGGAGAATATTAGGGAATTCTTTGCTTGAATATTATTACTGAGTATAGTACTATTCAGTGGAAGTTCTGATTGTGAGCGATCTTCGTTGAACAGTATTCCTGCAAAAAATCGGTTTCAGATAAAATAGGTTGCTCAAATGACTATTAATGAAACTTCAAAAATTTTTTCAGTTTCAACATCATGTGTTTTCGTAGCTCAGTCAATATTTATTCTACTGTGTCGTGGAATATACTTATTGATAGAGAATTTTGTACTCTATACATTGATGATGTTCATTTTTTTCACATTTTGATTTTTTGCCTCTTTTTAGCTGATGCCGTTAAGTGATTTTTGGCGAAACATCACTAACGAAATGCAGGTATCGAAAAATCAACCACGCATTCGGCACTGACAGTGTTAATGAACGCACTATTCGACGTTGGTTCGCGAAATTTCTTTGCGGTGACTTCAGCTTCGAAACTGACCCTCTAATGGGCGACCTGCAGAACTCAAGGACGAGGAGTTGAGGACCTTGGTGGAGACCAACCCATTACAAACGGTGCGTGAGATAGTGGAAGAACTGGACGTAAGCACCATGTGGTTTTTGATGGTTTAAAACATATTGGAAAGCTCAAAAACTCGATAAATGGGTGTCCGATGATTTGAACGATCGACAGAAATTGTCAAGAAGGAGAACAATCCACTTTAAGGTTGACAGAAGTATTCCTCAATCTAGTAAGGCTCTGGTTAATGATCAGTCTGTGACTACATTCGTCCGTTAGGTGAGCAATTCAAATATGTGACTTGAGAAATAGGTCTCCTGCCTCGCATTTCACGGAAACGGCCTCCCGTTACTGCAGGACACTTACTGCACAAAGCAGTCAGGAAAACCTCTCCCGATCCTCTCAGGTAGTTTGTAGCCATCCCGGTCGCAATGTGCAGCTTTGAATTTGTACCAGTCGAACATCTTTTGGAATATCCTCGAGGCAGCCATAATGGGATTCTGAGAATATTTCAGTTGAGGCTAAGGTATATTCACGTTGACAGGTTCCCTTCTCAATAATCTATGAGTCATTTGTGATATTGATGACTTATTCCATTATATATATGCCAGATTTCTTTATTCTGTCTCGTTTAGGTTTTGCATTAAATATGATTTTGCCTGAATTATTATTACTCATGAAAGATGTTATTATGTTGAATTTGGAAAAGTAATTTTGAATATTTACTGAAAGTTTACCTTATCTTTCATAAGTAATAATAATTTAGGCTAAATAATATGTAATGCAAAACCTAGACGTGACAGAGTGAAGAAATCTGGCATATATAGAATAGAATGTAGTGAATGCTCTGCAGTATACAGGGTGTAATTGAATAAGTGTAAAACATTCAAGGAGGTGATTCCTCGTCGAAAAAAAGATAGGTTCTTTCATATAAAGAAACTTCATTGGAGCATCCCTTGTTAGGATACAGCCCCTTAAAGGGGATACATAAAATTTGTACAACAATTTCTTTCACAAGATCTGAAAAAGTTACAATATTGAAATTAACCTGACGTTTTGTACTACCAAAAAGACACTTAGCCGATAAATCATTTGGTTTACCCCATGGTTGTAAGAGGTGGAAAACGCAACCGCTAAAATTTATTCCCAATGTAACTTTTTGTCTTATCATTTGTTTACCATTTGAAAATTCATTTCCGATAGCCTGTTTTATTCTAAACAAAAAATGTCTCTTGAGTTTTTTGCCCAAAATAAACCAGTTCGCAGCAAANACTTATTCAGTTACACCCTGTAGAGGAGGGAGTTTATTGAGTTTCTTTAAGTCGAGGAACAAAATAAAAGATTTGAAGAAATAAATAAAAAAATGAAGACGATAGTCGTCGCCTGAATGTTCTCGAAAGCACAAGGAAACGAATAAACTGTACAGAAAAATAATAAAATGAGTAACAAAAATTAATAGAAAAACGAAAACAAAATTGAAAATTTCATCATTCGCAATGTGATCGTAAATCGAATTGATCTAACCAGAACAAATCTGCCGGAAACAGTATTTTAAGTTGAAAAAGGTTTTTATAAGCCAATTCATTGTTAAAATGAAAAACCTGTGATAGATATTCATATCATTTTTTCGTGCATAAGAATTCGACTTATTGTTTACAATTGTACATTTAAATATTGTGAGAAATATAGATCACTTTACGTTGCGACATGACGTCTGAGTTTGTTTCAGTTGATGTCTATTTTAGTCAAAGAAGTATAAAAATAAATTATCGTGTACGTAGTATACACACAATCTAAATGAAATGTCATTGCGGTATGTTTTTCGATTCATGTCTATAGAAAATTCAATTATAGATCGATTGTGAAACTGTTGGTAAATTAATATATTCACTTACCCAGAGTCACGTTTTCCTTTGCTTGGCACAAGTATTGAAAGGAAAGGAAAATAGCAAGGGAGTAGAAATTCACAAACATTTCTAACTACTTACGAACGTAAAACTAAAGTTAGTTATATAATTCTTACGATCTCCACATCTCTTCCAAAGAAGCGAACTGTTTACAAGGGGTTTTTGAATGAAGTGGGCAAATTTGCTTCCTACTTGGTAGACTGCCAGTTTCAAATTTTATTTATAAGTCAGAAATCAATGCACCAACTGAATACTCGTATTATGGACGTAGAGCACGTAAATATCGCATCGTAAGTTTGATTCGGGAAGCGAAAGGGTGTTCTTTATATAATTTTGAGACGTGAAGAGTATTTTCTGTGTACCAGTGAAACTGAAAAGATTATATTTTAAAAAAAACTTGATTTTATTATTCAATGAAGTTGCCTTCAAAGGCGATACAAAGATTATAGCGGTCATATAATTTTTCGATACCATTTTTACAGTACGATTTGTCTTCAGCCTTAAAATAGGCCTCAGTTTTGACGATTACCCCTTCTCTTGAGTTCAAAAAAAAGTCTCTAGGGGCCATATCTGGAGAATACGGCGAACGCGGAAGCAATTTGAAGCACACTTCATGCAATTTTGCCGTCGTTTTCATTAAATTATGACACGGTGCATTGTCCTGATGAAACATCAACAATAGATTTAAAAGCGGACAAATTAATTTGCAGGTAGTGGTTCCACTGGATAATTACCGAAAAATAAATAAGGATAATCATCATTTAACAAACAAAGTCCACATCGGACCAGCTGAATATTGCAGTACTAAAAAAATTGACCTTTACAACCTGAACCATACGTATCCTACCAGAGGAAAAATAAATTCGTTCAACCGCTAATGAGTAAGTCAATGGACCAGTAAAGTCATTAATTTTTGAGACCAAAGGCTTTCAACACTCTTCCTGATGAAATAAAAATCTAACAACCGATATCAAAACTCAGAAGAGAATTGAAAACATGCGTATATCAAAGGAAACGGAGAGAGATTCACCAAATACTTATGATGCACTGTTTGGAACCTTTGGTGTAGTAATGAATATCACTGGAGTTTTTTCCCAACACCAAATCGTTATTTTTAACACCTCAAGTGAGGTGTTGGGAAAAAACTACAGTAATATTCATTCACCAGATAATTGAAAATTACCATTTTACAACAAAATTTATACACAAATGAATAGCATTTTATAAGTGTTGTTCATGACGAAGACTTTCAAGAACGAGGTTTCAATGATGAACGAGAACGGGAATGTTTTCTACTTATTCATCAAACTCAAACACCTGTTCATGCAGCTGCAGTTTCGTAAGAATGTATCATCTTTCCCTCCAACCGATTTCCTGGAGTCTTTGAAGTCCACTAGATACTCGTTGGGACATCAAGAGGATTGTTCCGAATTCTTGGGGTTCTTGTTGGATACTCTTCGTGAGCAAAACAATAGCAAAATCAATACTCCTGACCGCTCTGAATTGAATGATTCCGTACAGTCCATCTCGTCTTTGTTTATAAATCTTTTGCTGGAAAAATCCTCACTTGTTTACTTTGTAGTAAATGTTCAAGAGGTTCAAGAGGTAGCGAAAATGCATGTGAATTTCTTTACCTTCATCAAGCTTTTCCTAATATGACTAATAACCAGTCCGTGCAAAGCTTATCGTTAAATCATCTGAAAATGGAATTTTTAAGGTGGTGATCGACTGTATTGCCAAACATGCGTCAAACTAACTGACTGTTATAAGAAAATAAGTATAGCTGAGGCACCAGTCAATCGAACAATAACACTGATAATCTTCAAACAAGACTCAACCTCTGACGAAAGCAAGAAACTCTTTGGAAGATTCGAAATAGATGAACATTTCAATCTAGCAGACCACTACCATATTATTCATGCAGTCATTGTTCACTGTGGTCCTGGCGTTGAATCTGGTCATTATCACGCCTTAGTCAAAGACGAAACGGACTGGTTTAAGTTTGACGATAGTGGTGTCACGAAGTGTTCTGGCGATGTATGGAATCTATTGGAGCCTCTGGAGACACCCTACATTTTGTTTTATGAGAGAGGGGACATTGGTAGATCAAGATCTTCAGATAATGTATTGCTGCAGGTTTTTTCGGGTTTTCCTGCAGCTGAAACAGCAAATGCGCCACTGGAATCAACGAAGTCGCCCCGGAGCGCCAATTAATTTTTATTGTTGTTTTTATTTTTATCGTTGTTTTAAAATTTCACAAATAAATCTTTTTATACGCAAATATACATGACATTTTCTGTGTACATCTGTTTCATTCGTGCTGCTCGACTGTTAATTCATTTGTGAAAATTTTAGTTCTAATCTAATAACACGTTTTTCTCAAATTGAATTAACAAAAGTTGATTGATCGATATTTCAATGCTGTTTATTTTACAATCAGAATAATTCAATGTCTCAGTGCAAAAACGTAATATTTCATCAATTATTATTATTTCATATGATTATTGTTATTATCAGTCATATTTATGTTATCACGCACAAGTCATTTCTGTAACTTTTCTGATATTGTCTGTTTATTCAACTATACTCTCTATCAAATGAAAAGCTTTGTATATATAATGATATTTCTGTAAATGAATAAAATGAAATCAAGTAATAAGTTGAATGGAATTTGTGCTTATTTGAGTATGGAGGGAGGGAGGAAAGTGTTGTATATGAAGCTAATATCAATTCACCGTTCAAAAAAATAAATTCGGAATTCATCATCAGTGAATTTCTTTATTATGATTATTCATAGCTGGCTCTTACAATAAACATGTATCTGGTAGAATTAAATTCAAACATAACATCTTAAGAACTCAAATCTAAATCACATTTCTCAATCATTACATGAAAAAAGTAAGAATTTGTTATAATTCATTCTTTAACCAAAATGTTTCAAGAATCGCGGTTTATGTTCATCAGAGATCCAGCACTCTGTAAGAAACTGTGAACTATACTCTTAGCATCGGTTTTTCCACTTTCGCCTGATGAAGACGACGACTCTGATAAAAGTGGTTTAGTTCTTTTCTTCGTTATCCAAACATTACAAGCAAATTTGAGTTCCGACTTCAAAGCCTCTCCATACGTTATCTGAAAGCGAAAAAGGTAATTAATATGATGTTACTGATGTCACATGATATTTTTGAGTACAAACTCACATGTGAGTTGTTTAATAATACAAATATTGTGTTTAGATTGATTCGGACGTTACTTGATGAAGATCTATACCGGGTGTCCCACATTTTATGTGACAGGCAATATCTGAGTGGTTGAAGGAGATACACAAAAATGTTTCATACAAAAGTTTTAGGAGTTCATGAGAGCTATATTTTGATATAAAGATGAGGTGAAAGTTTTATCTATGAACTTTCAATCTAGGCTGTACATATCAAGTAGTCATAAGATCAAGTTGAATCGTGAGTCATCTCACAAAGCACTGAAATTATAAACATCAAATGCCAAACCAAATACCATACTTGTAATCTGGGCCGCCTTTCAGTTGTTCCACACGAATGAAGTCCTGACTGTTTTTCCTCTCCCAAGTTTGGAGCTTCAAAACTTCTTGTAATCTTATGAGTCCCTCTTCATTTTCGTAGATCAAAACAAACCCATTCCATTCTAAACTCTTCACAATCGCAGCTATTCCTCTGGAAAGTCGACCGGACTCGGGATAGAAATTGAGGAAAGTTTGAGAATGATCTTGAGTCGTTTCCCTCCATGACGATGAGATATACGGAACTTCGAATGTTTTGCATATTGACTCTATCACCGGGTTTATGACGGTTGTCGGAGGACCAAAAATGGTTATGAGACCATCTCCGGAGTTCAATAGATCACAAACTGGAAAATAAAAAAAAATGTGTTGAAATGAGACGAAAATGGTCGCGCTCTTTTCGTTTTGCGTTAACAACAAAGAATGTCTGAATTCTAGCCTTGTAGTCGACGCATCAGCCAAGCAATCATAATTGGAGATGGAGCAAGTGTTTGGAATTGCTTGAACCTGGGGATGACGAGCTATGTCGAGTCCTCCGCAGGCTCGAGAACGGGGAAAACCGCTCCCTCCCCTCTTCACGGAGAGGGCGGTATCTGCTACTCCCCTACCGAGAAGACGTTGGCTTTTGCAGACACAATGGAGAGTCAGTTTCAACTCAATGTTGTTCCGGATGATGATATTGAACGTGATATCCGGCTGGAACACCGGGTTCGGCGCATCCTTAGGGAAGATGATGACTACGAGGGGGTACATTAGGGCCTCCAAACCCAAGAAGGCTCCGGGAGTTGATTCAATCAACAATATGTTGTTGAAGCAGCTCCCAGAGAACTTCGTCAAATATCTGCTGGACATTATTAACAGTTCAATCGCCCTCAGATACTTCCCTCGAAGATGGAAGCATGCCGTAGTTGTCATGATTCCGAAACAGGGCCAGAACCCGCTGTTTCCGCAGAATCGTCGTCCGATTCGTCTGCTTTGCTCAGCGGCTAAGTTGGCTGAACGTGTTGTGCTGCAAAGGCTAACTGAAGAAGTTGAAGACTCAAATGTTCTGCCTGACGAACAATTCGG